ATTTAAAATTAAAATTAGAGATTAAAATATTTATATTACTAACTAGTTAATATTTTAATATATTAAAAAAATAAAGTGAGTAAAAAAATGAAAAAAAAAAGTTTACCAAAAAAAGAAAGATGTTAAATAATTAATTTTTAAAAAAATTATTTTATGATTTAATTTATATTAAATTATAAAATATAAATTTCAATTTGTTAATATTAAAAGTTTTTAATTAAAAAATATTATTTTTTAATTTACTATAATTTAAATTATAAAATAATAATTTTTTAATTTTTTATTGTAAATTTTTATTGTAAATTTATAAATAATAGGGCTTAAGTTTCTGTCATTCCTTGTATCATTCATTTATGAATTATCAGAAGCAGTACAGATTTGAAATGCGCCCACTTACGTACGTCTCGCACAGGTTCTCGGCGTGTTTCTAGGGTTCTCTTTTTTTTTTTTTCTTCTTTTTTATTTGAGGTGGTTCAGCTTCTCTAGAGTCTACACATAGGACACTAAACTGTCCTTCCTATTTTCTTCCCATTTTTTTATGAAGAAAAAAAAAGAGAGATCGGGTAAATGGCATCAGAGGCCTATGATGGTGCTGCCATGCAGGCTGCAGCCTGCAGATGGCGTTGTACATGTATATATGTACACGTGGTGGGCCCATTTTCCTTATCAATTTCTGTTTGAGTCTGATGTGTCAGGACTTCATTGCCACTTGGAACATTATTATATTTTAATGCACGTTTGCCCCACACCCCGGTCTATGTTCCGTTGCAGCATTGGCATTTGCTGGTGATATCAACCCCTCATAATAATGAGATTTTTTTTTATCCATGCCATACTGGTTGGAATTATAAATAAAAGACTTTGTACAGGCGGTTGTTGCAAGGAAATGTCAAAGTAGAAATTCAGGCTGGGTCAGTTATTTCAATTAGAATAATTTTCAATTGAGAGGTGACGTACAATTATTAGAATCATGCTTTTTCAATTTTGGTGGCATGGAAAAGGAAGACCCATGTTAATTTAAAAAAAAAAGAAAAGAAAAAGAAAAGAAAGGGAAGACCCACTTGAAAAATGAATGATTGACTTAAGGAAATTCAAGAAAAAGAAGAAAGGTAAAGCGGAGGTTCCTAGAAGAAGCAACGGATCTTAATTAGCTACATCATTCATGTCTTTAGGTGGGATGTTAAGCTAATGTTTAGCACAACTCTATGGGTGCCTTTGGTTTTCCTTTCTTTTTCATAGGAAGCCAAGCAAATTGGGATTTTATCTTTTTAGGATCAAAGGATTATAATTGATTATATGGCAAATTGGCAATAACCAACCACCAAGCTTTGAAAGTACTCCCTTGTTTATTGTATGGAAAGATTTTTTTTTTTTTTTTTTAGAAATCCAATTGATTTTATTAAAAAATAAGACTATATGACAGAGTTCGTATAACATAACTCATTTTTTATGCAATATAACCAATTATAGCCTCATGACACACCAAATATTTCAATGTTAAAACTCACAAAACCAATTTATAAATTGACTTGACTACTTAAAGAATTATGTTTGAGATGGGTGAACCAAACACACACCCCATAGGCATGGTATTCAAAGATCTGTTATTTCGTGATTATTTGGTATTAAATGGTGGTGGGGACTACGGACTATCCCCACTTTTATTGCCTTTACCTTAGGGGCAACAAAAGGGGTCGAGAATTTAAGTAGCATAGAATAAAGAGAGATATCTACCTCAATCAATCACCATACCTCTTCCATAGGATAGGGATATCTGGGCTTCAAAATCTTGGAAATGGCTAGAAAAAAGTAGTAGAAGAAAAGTAAAACAAAGTGGAGGGTAATAAAGAAAGGCAGGTAGAAAACCCTCCAATCAACAAGCAATGACATCCCACCTCCAAATCCTTCACTTTTCCAGTTTCCTCTCTTTTCTCTTCGAAAAAAGAAAAGAGCAAAAAATCCACCTCCATCCAATTTTTCTCAAAGAAAAGGGAATATCATAAAGTTGAATAAGAAACAGAGATTGAATGATTGTCCCCACTTTTGTACTAGATGAACCATATTTCTAGTAGTTACTTAGATAATTTAACTTTGTGGATTTTTTTACCTAAATATTTACCCTCTTAGGAAATAATTGTCATAAGACCCAAAATTTCAATACAAAAATAAAAAAAATAAATGAAAAACAAGAGATTAGAGATGGGAAATAATGAAAAAATTTTCTATATAATTAATTTCTAAAGTATTTGCATTTTCTGGGTTAACCCCAAAAAAAAAAAAAAAAAAGAGCGAGAGAGCAAAGTTTCAGCCTTTTCAGGACATGTTGATATGGAGACTGGCATTCATGGCAGAATCGCACACAGGGCAGGTGCCTACGAGACTGGACCCACACATTGTACACAGACAAAGATGCCTGCATGGTAGCAACAGCACACTTGACTCCCTTTCCCCACACTTTCTGCACGCCCTGCTCCCTCCACCACCACCAACGACCGCCTTGTCCTCCGCCACCGACGCAGTCCTCATCCCATTAACATTTTCCCTTCCGTAATCGCTACTCCCACAACTCGACTCACAGTCATCCGCGACCGTTGCCCCGCTCACGTGGCGCTCTTCACTAACATGTGCCAATACCTGCTCCAGGTTGCTCCGAAGAGAGTTGGCCGTCGCCTCGTTCGTCTGTGCTAGGTCCCGCCACAGCTGGTTCTGCACCGATAAACTTTTCACCTTTTCCTGAAGTACCCAGTTTAGTTTTCCCATTTTTTGAATCTCTTCGTCTTTCTCTTTCAATTTCTTAACGACCCTTTCCTGAATCACTGTAATCAACATTCTTGATTGCCTCTTTCTTGTTTCCTCAAGTTCCATCCGCAATTTTTCCGTCTGTAATTATTAATCCAAACAAAACAAAAAATTAGAATCTGAAATTTAGATCTATTTTTGGTTAATTGCCAAGTAAACTGAACAAAAATAGGGTATTAATATGTTGGAACGGCTACCAAATTAAATATATATATATAGGTACCAAATTAAAAATTTATTAATAACCCCAATTTTTTTTTTTCCTTTCAGTTTCCTTCAGTTTCTTGGCAAGCAGACACTAGCTAGAGAAATCAAATTAATTCAACTTACATGTTCAGCGAGGTAACGATCGAGTTCTTGTTGCTGTTGCTGGATGTGGGAAATGATATCTTCATCAAGAAACGAAGAAACAGCAGAAAATTTGTTCTTCTGAGAAACCTGGTATGCATCAAACCCATCACTGAATGTATTATCTCTCGGCCTCTTCCTAGGAGCGGTGACTGCTGGAATATTATATGTGAGACCGCTGTCATCTTTGTTCATTGACGTCTTCGCCTGAACCGGATCACAAGCAAGGGATTGATACAGCGGCCAGAGTTGCTGCGACTGTTGCATTGTATCCACCAAAGGAATGCAGTAATCCATCTGGGAATTGTACAAACCACCATTTCCTTGATTGTTCTTCACAAAATCTCTGAAAAAAGAAAAAAAAAAAAAAACAAAGAGACCCCATAAGAAATCATGAACAAAAACAGAAATTTCCAACACCCTTTCTCCAAATTACAAGATTGTTGAAGTATATACATACCTGTTGGTAATTAACTGGGGAGGGAAAATATTCATATGCCGTGCCTCGACTGCCATGAATGAATTTCTTAGGTTTTTCACAGAGGAGAGAAGAAGGATAAAGAGAGCACGCAAAGACCAAGATAGAGAGAGTTGGGAGAAGCCCTGGATGAGGGGAATGGGTTTTTTTAGGCCTTGGTTTTTAATATAAGGAGGAGAAAGTCAAGAGAATGACTCTGTAAAGAGAGGAAGAGATGGAATCGTTATTTATTATCGTGCACAAATTTCTGTACAAATTAGTAAAACATGGGGTGGCAGATTTTGTCCTTGGATTTTGTTCCCATAAATTCTTTCTTTTATTTATTTATTTTTAAAATAAAAAGAAATAAACATTAACTGCTTTAACCATTTCTTCCTTGTATTTGTATCCTCTCTGGATTTTTGCCTCGGGAGACCAAAATTCAAGGGGTGATTACGTAATTTCAAGTCGTCAAAAGAAATATTAAGTGGAGACGTGGCTGTGATTTTCGTCTCAGTAACTGACATGCGGCATATCTGCCACGTAGAGGATGCATGCAGGCGGGCCACGTAAGCGGGTCGCTACGGTCCAAGCGGATAAGAGGGGCCCGGTTGTGGAACTAAAACGTGACCATCCTGGTGTGGGCCCCACTCCTTCCACGTGCGAGGTGTGGAAGGAGGGGGAGGATGGGTTATTTATTTATTTATTTTTATTCTTTTTTGGGACAAAATTATTACTTTAAAAAAAAAAGAAAAAAAAAAAAAGAGGGAAGAAGAGAGAAATGATGGTCGAGGTTTGTGGGGCCCAGTGGCGGTTTCTCCGTTTTGGTATCTTGTCCCGTTGTTTCTGTTTGTCCCCTCCCCACGGCAGGAGGTGTCCCGGTACGGACGGCTGAGCCCATGGTGGATTATTTCACTCGTGAATATCGAACACACGTGTGAAAACTTAACTGCTCAGTTAATTTTCCCCAAACATTTATTAATATCGCAAATTTGGGAATTAAAGTTTCTTTAATTTAGGGCAGTTTGAGATTTTTGGACTTAATTACGTGAGATTGCTCGATTGGGCAAACAAATCACTGAATGGAGACATTTTTACAAATTAAAATAACCAAAGATAATTTACAAATTTAATTAATGGATTAATCAAGTATCGATAAGCGAGAGGTGTCATGTATGATAGGTTAGGAATTCAATTAATTAAGCGTGACTTGGTGGATAAAAGGGTTATTGGGATGTTAATCTCATTGCGTTTTTTTGTTCAAATCATTCAAATAGGATGTTAAGTCATTTGCAAATTTTATAATGTTTTTGAATTTGAATTACATACAATAATTGTTCATAAGGTTTTACAAAATCACAACAGCTACATGATCTCGCATAATAGGATGTATGAAAAACAGGTTGGATAAAATTATTAATGGCAAAGATTATTATTTTCAAAATTCACATAAAAATGTAACTCATTTCTTTATTTATATCTCAAATAAATGAATTTTTTAATAGTTAATATCAACATAAATATAGTAAACAACGATGTTACTTATTAGATGGTAATAACTGAAGAATTTTATTTTTAAGAAAATAGATATCAAATGAATACATTATGTATACAATTAATTATCACATTCTGTTCAAATCAATCCCTTTATATTTTTATTTTCTAGTTATAAGAATTTAGACTTGACAGAGCCATGACCAAATTAGTTGTGTTTCTTCTGCTTGAGGATATACATTGATCTTTCCACCTAATGTGAGATTCAATTAACACCACATTTCCGTTCATAGAAAGTAACTCCTATGCATAGAGGACTAAGAGGAGCATCCATTCCTTTCTTAAACTCATTCAATGGGAATTTTCAATAGTAGTAAAAGAGTACCTATTTTGCATTGTTTCACCAAAACATGCCTAAATCGCAATCAATAATGTTGATTAGCAATGCCAAAGGGTGCCTAACTACAAATTAGGGACATGTATGAGAGAAATAGGAACAATTTTAGTAATGGTTACCCTAAATTTAATACTATGTTAATTCAAGTAAAAAAAATTCGATTCTTATTAAATAAAATTTTAAATTTGAGTTTTATGAATAGAGAAATAAATATTATGAGAGGATCTCTTCTTATAGGATTCGACCCAACTTGACTTTGAATTAGTTGAAATTTAATGCAACTTCTAAATATTCGGATTTTGTAAAAAAAAAAAAATTCCTCTAAATCTAATAATAAGAATCTTGATTCCTACTATCTTCCTATCTCTCTCATCACTCCTTTCCTCTTCCTTTCTCTCCCCCATTCTCTAATAGTGAATAGGACACTAAAGAATGGCATATCAATGTGAGAGGAAAAGAAATTTTTTTGACTTTGGGGATCAATTTTGCAAGTGACAAATGATATAATCATGTGAGGGGAGAAGAAATTTCTCTAAGTTTGAAAGGCATTCTAGTCGAAGGGTTGTTGGGGCTAGCATTGTTGCTAATTTGGATTTGTTTTGAGGGCCATCTTTGTAGGGAAGTTTTGTAAATGATTATTCTTGCTATATTTCTATCATTTTGTAATATTAATGCATTTTTGATATTTACTTAGAAAAATTCAATTTTGATCGAAATGGAATTCCTCTTAAAACAAAATTAAATAAACAAGCAAACGGAATCCTTATTGATCCAATCTTAATAGTTTTATTGATTACTTTATATATTCTCGTACTTTAATAGTTTTTCTTTTCACATGGAAGATTTTAATTCACTTTATCACTGATCTTTTGCCATTCTGTCTCTTCCCTTTTTTTGGTTTTTCTTTTTCCCCCTTTAAATTTTAAAAAGTAACTACCCATAATCAAGTGTAGCTATGTACATTGTTTTTAAAATTAGATTTTGTGTTGGTATATTCACATTTGTGTTGGTTTTAACATTTTCAAAATACCACCAATTTTCACTTAGTTGTCAGAAAATATGAGTTTAATGTGGCTTCCTTTTCATGTTATGCAAGGTTTCATTTTCTCTCTCTTTTTGTTACTTATTTTTTACAACCTTAAAGAAAGTAGATAATTTATTTAAAAACCAAAGAGATAACTAAAAAATTGCTTGATGACATTATTATTATTCAATGCAATTTATGAAAAACAAAATGTTATTTTGATATTTTATTATTTATTTTTAATAATAAAATTTTAAGTATTTTTTTTTCTTTTAAAACTTAGATATATTTTAACAATATATCAGCAAAGTGAGTTGAAAAATGCTAGTTTAACTTAAACTTTGGGGAGGCTTATCCAAGCAGAGTTAATTTGATGTCAATTTTGGGATGACATAACTTCACTCACCCCTCATATATTTTTTTTATGTCTATGTATATAGGGTATGTACGTGGGGATGTGGATCTTGACATGCAATAAATCTATGGCAGAAACTTGAATTGTATGATGACTCAGTACATATCTTTTGCTTATCTCATTTGTGTCTAATTTCTTTTCATTGCACCTTTTAGCTAAGTGGATACAGCACATATTTGTCGGTGCATCGCTTGGATTTAACATATATGAATAGATGAAACTGAAAAACCACAATGATCCCTAGAAAATCACACCCTTTTTTTTACTTAACTATAAGAGTTTTAATTTAACTTTTTAACTTTTAAAATATAAAGTTTAAATAATAATTAAACATAATATATAAACTATAAATTTTTTTATCAAGTAAAACTACAAAATTGAATAAAGATTACACAAAGCAATAGTAAAATTTTTTATTGATATTTATATATTATATTAAAATTCTGCCTTTTTTTTTAATCTTTAAAGCTTAAAAATTAAATTAAAACTATTACTAGTAAACAGATGAGAAAGTAATATGTAAAGCAAATGGATAATGATGTGTGCACACTTGGATCCCACACCCGGGTGTGCACACATCATATAAACAAAAAAAAAAAAATGCCCATCACCCAGTCCAACTTTTTTTTTTTTTATGTGGGGAGTGTACACCCGGGTGTAGGATCCGGGTGTGCACCAATCAGTGTCCAAAGTAAATACGTGATTGAAATACCTCATACCTTTAAAATCTCTTTGAGTACCAAAAAAACATTTAGAAGATTTTTCCTCAGAATTTTTTTAAGATTATGTGTGCGTAATCGGTTGATAATAATTTAGGCATGATCTTGAGCCAGCGAAATTGTTGAATTGAATTCCAATTTTTTACCAAAACTCAAATATCTATCTGAATAAAAAATTATTGGTAGTAATACTCAGGTAATAAGTTTTTGTTGGTTTAGACTCTCAAAGAAGAAAAAGACAACTCAAAGGGATGACTATTGACAAGGAAAATCAAGGGTTCAGATTTACCATATGAATATAAATGTAATATAGGAGATGAGAAGAAGTCAAATGATTCAAAATCCCAAACACTGCAACATGAAAACCAAACCCTAGCTTGGTCCCCCAACACTAAATTGATGAATTAATGGAAAGCAAACTCCTCAACCACTATGAGAGGGCTATTGACCAAATTTACGGTTCAATTCCCTCATACGCACGCACATTGAAAAGGAAAACAAGATAAACCGAAAAAAAAGAGAAAGAAAATAAAAGGTGTTGCCACCAAGAAAGAGTGCAAAATAAATGAGGACACATGGATTCCCACATCCACCACGCCGTCCTCCTATCCCCCTTTATTTGTTTTTTCGTCTCCTCTATTATTGCGTTGGTTTCATCATCCCCCATTTGTCCATCTCATACACGTTTAATCTTAACCACTCCAAAGATATCAGAACTAAGTACTAAACAAACAAACATTATGTAATTAGTATATTAATTAAACTTGATTAGTGGAATAAAGTCTGGGACACTAATAGAATGCTTGAATTGATTTATATCTATTGATTTAATTATATGCGGTTACTGTAAATTAATTTTTATTATCAATAAATATTGTTAGTGAATCATTGTAAATATTATTTGTCATAGTGTGAATACAATGGATTCTGATTTAGATTTCTAGAGGGTGAGAGATTATGAGATGAATAGGAACAGTGCCATAAAGTAATTGATTAAGAATATCAAGAGGAAGATTCAAATCTCACTAACAAGTTGTTCGGCACATTAACATTTCCTAATATAAAAAAATATGACATATTCCTAGAAAGAATGCATTCTTTTACTTTAAAATTAAAGAGGTGGCAAGAAAAGCCTCTCTTATCTCAT